GTGACTGGAGTTCAGACGTGTGCTCTTCCGATCTATAAACTATAATATAACTATATAATAAATAAAAATTCAAAAAAAAATTAAAGAAAAATTGTTAGAAATTAAGAAAATTAAATAAACAGATTCTTCTTTCAAGTAAACAAACCTGGCACAAGAGCGATGATAAGTCCGATGATCCAGATGACGATCATCGATGAGGATGCAGCTTGAGATGTCATGGCGCGATGACACTTCAAAGGTGCTGCGATCAGAATAAATCGCTCCACGGACATAAATGACAGGATGAGCACGGAAACCTTGCCAAGCAATTTACAATCATCTATTTTAATTTTCGATTTTTTTCAACCTTTATAATCTCAATTTATATCTAACTGTAATACTGCTATTTGAAGAAATTAGAATCGTGCGCGAAGGAAAAGTTACATTTAAATCTACTGAACTCGTTTCTCAAGAAATATGCGGATGCCGCGCATCGATATCTATTCGAGCAACGATTGCGATTTGAATCGGAAATGCTTTACAGCTATAATTACATAAATAAAATTAAATGTGCGCTACATATATAATATCACTAATGTCGACTTTGTCACGGCTACCAGATTTCGCTGAATAGTAGCGTAAGCGGTCATTATAAATAGTACCGTTAAATAGCAATTGTACGTTGCGAATTGAAAATTGTGGGATTCAGCGAGGTGTTAATGTGCATACCTCGGATGATGTCATCGCCAGCGCACCTAAGAGCGTGCAGGGCCATGAGGACATCCATGTACTGGCTTCTTCTTTGTAGTTATCGCGAAACCTCGCGTCTTCTATGGCGATTATGAAGAGGTATATTCCCATCAACATGTCGGACACTATAAAAGGATTACGTGACTTTACCGCCTTGTGATTTATAGTGAGCCCAGCATTAATATGCTCGATCGATCATCGCGTGCGCTTTGTTGTAAACCGCAAACTGTGATAACTCGCGTGCACTTCGTGATTCGATACGTACGAATCATTTGAAAAGGGATTATTTACGATGTCGTTATCTCGTGTCTACGTTCAACTATGCGGAACCAAAGCGGTAGTCAGCGGCTATTGAAAATTTTAAATTTTTACAAATTTTACTTTCAATTTTCAAGACAAAATCGTCCGTACACTAAGCCAAAGAGATTTTTATAAGAGATATTTATAAAGTCAGAAAATTATTTTTATCTTA